GTGCCGCGATGGAGCCTCACCGTCGACGTCAACACCACAGCTGCGATCCATGCCGGAAGGGGAAGAGGGCGTGCGATGCTCCCGCTCGCAGAGACCGGCACGGTTCAACTTCATCGGTATCAGGAACATCATCAGCACGCCAGGAGGTGGCCAATCGAAGGGTGCTAGCAGAGAGCAATCTCAACATCCCGTGCTCGAACTGCAGGAAATACAATCGAGAATGCACGTTCAACTGGTTAGTTGAGAACCGGGCCGCCGCGCGGGGGGTTCGAAAGCAGAAAGGTCGCAATGCGAGCAACTTGCCTAGAGCGGAGGGAGACGTGATTTCAACCCGCTCGGACTCGGGACAAACGAGCCTGTTGGACGACATGCTGTACTCCTCCTCGTGGCTATCCAACAGTACCGGGAATGGAGTGTCGTCGAGTAGTTCTGTTGATCAGCCGGTGACTTGGTCGATGCCGCCGAATGCCGTCTCAATACCGCTGAGAAGCAGGGACTCTGAACTCGACCCGTTCAGTATCATGCTTTGGAACGCGAACACAGCACCGGTGCCGCCGAGCAATGCGGAAACGTCGGGCTCGGCAGAGGACAGTTGTTCGAGCTTTGACTACTACCAGCAGAGCTTGTCGAGCTCGGGACCGCACTCTCTCGATGAGACTCTCGATTTGCTCCAACAGTTTGATGATTCAAGTCCGGGGTTGAGTGGTTCTTATTACTCGTCGTCCCCTGGCTTTGTGATACCGGATAGCAGCGGTGACGGTCTACCAACGTTCTCGGCAGACAGTCTCTATCCACCTGGGAACAAAGACAGTCTATTTGTTCTTTCCGATAATATTTCAGACAGCTATGCCCGCTCAATGATGACTCAAAATCTTATCCGCATATACCATGACAGCATGGAAAATGCATTGTCCTGCTGGCTCACAGAGCAGAACTGTCCCTACAACACTGCAGTCTCCCCATACACCTCCACACCGAGCGGGCTCTCCAGTAAAGCGCAAGCGGCATGGGGACCGAACTGGACGAACCGGATCTGCACCCGAGTATGTCGGCTAGATCGTGCGTATTCCTCCGTCCGTGGTCGAAATCTGAGTGCCGCAGAAGAGAAAATGGCATCGAGAGCTCTCCACACCGCGATCATGGCGTTTGCCTCGCAGTGGGCACAGAAGATGCCGAGAAGCCATGGCTTTTCGTCGACCTCGCCCGTCGCGCAACACGAGCGTGTCATCCGGGAGAACCTCTGGAACCAGGCGCGACGTGCTCTGGAGAATGCAGCGGGTATTCCTTCTTTCCGGGTGGCTTTTGCGAACATCATCTTCTCCGTGGGACAGCGTCCGCTCAACGTCGATGAGGATATGGAGCTGCATGAGCTGCTGGAGAATGACAGCGCGCCCTTGTTCATGGAGGCGGCTGTGCGACAGCTCTTTTCCATCCGATATAAACTGACCCGTCTGGAACGGCAGAAACCAAAGTCGCAAAGTTCGCCGCAGCAGAGCAATATCGATCTAGCCGGCATAGCCGATACACCCCCTCCCCAGACAGATGCGTTCTACGCCGACCCCGAGCACCAGGAAACCGTCAACCTTCTTTTCTGGCTGGTGGTCATGTTCGATACCCTGCAGGCCGCCATGTATCAGCGTCCGCTGGCCATCTCAGACGAGGACACTCAGATAACGTCCGTTGCGCCGTCGGTCTCGAATGCCAAAACCGACAGCAGCGTCGACCTCGACGGCTGGAACATCACATACACCCGCGCCCTGAAGGAGAAACAAGACCTGTGGGGCGACTTCTTCCTCCACAAGCGGGCCGCACGCCAGGGCTCGAACCCGCCCCGCTGGCCATGCTCTTACGAAGAAGCCGCAGAGATCCTCTCCGATGCAAGCCCCGTCAAAGTCCTTCTCTTCCGACAAGTCACTCGCCTCCAGACCCTCGTCTACCGTGGCGCCAGCCCCGAGCGCCTCGAAGAGGTCATCCAGAAGACCCTCCGCATCTACCAACACTGGAACACCACCTACAAGCAATTCTTCCAGAGCTGCAACGCCAACCATGATGACCTCCCCCCGCGCATCCAGTCCTGGTACGTCATCGTCGCAGGACACTGGCATCTTGCAGCCATGCTGCTAGCCGACACCGTGAAAGGCATCGACGAGGGCCGCCTCGGCCTGGAAAGCCGCCGCGAGGCCCGCACCGCAATCGACTTTGTGTCGACCCTCCGACGGGACAGCGCACTCGCCGTCGGGGCCATCGCGCAACGCAGTCTGCAGGGCCGGGAGTCCCTCGCGAACCGCATCCGCTTCTACCACGACGCCGTGAACGAGGCTGCGTTCCTGGCCGAGCCGTGGACGCTCGTGCTGATTCGCTGTTTCGCCAAGGCGGCGTACATTCTTCTTGATGACATTACGCCGCTGTCGCATGGCTATAGGCCGGACGATCCGTCGGAGTATGCAAGGCGGAACTGCGAGTTCTGTATCTCGGCGTTGTGGTGTCTGGGGACGAAATCGGATATGGCATTTGTGGCTGCGCGGTCGTTGTCGAGTCGGTTGGATAGGAGGCTGGGGAAGGGCACTCCTCCGGTTTGTTCTGTAGGGGGGACTGTCCGGATTCCCTCTATGCCGCTTTTTGATGAACGGATATCGGGAGAGTTGGGCAGTATCAGTATCCCAGTTTCGTTGTAGGCAGTCACTGAGAACAATATCGTAACATCTGGCGGTCTTGCTTTCGTCTACCTACCTTTATATGTATTATATCTGCGCTGTGGTTCTGCCCAATGACGACTGGCCTCATTACCTTCGAATTCGCTATTTACCCGATTAGGTCAATATCTAAGACCTTACTTAAAGCCATCATCTAGTAGATACCCTTTATGGAATTGAACCACATGTTCCCCTTTAAATCACCCCAGTCCCAACGAACCTCCTCATACTCAATATACACAGCTGGCTATAACCTCCAAAGCCGATAGCAGTGGACACCAAGACTGGTCTCGAGGTCATCTCCCCTTCCTCGTACATCAGAAACAGCACCGAGAGTTTGGACGTTATTAGGACCCGGATACTGTGGCCTAAAGTGTATCCATAATATTACTCCGCACTCATAAACATATTGTTCATCCAGGGTACAGCCGAATAGTACCCAGGTCCTACTTCTACGTAGCATAGCTTCCCCATAGACTCCACAGTGGCGGTGGGGGGCGGGGGTGGAGAGTGATCATCACTCCACCACATATATATCTATGATAGTGGTATATCCCGATAGACAGACATCAACACCGAGACACAATCTTCATCATTAAAGTTAACAAAATGCATCTCATCCTCATCCCCATCCTCATCCTAATTGCCATCCTCCCCACCCTCCACACAACCCTCCGCACCCTCTCGCTCCGCCGAATCCCGGGCCCCTTCCTCACCCGCTTCACGAAACTCTGGTACTTCAACCGCGTGCGAACGGGCCACTTCGAAACAGACAATATCGCCCTGCACCGGCGATACGGGCCCGTCGTCCGCATCGCCCCAGACCACTACAGTATCTCCGGACGCGCAGCCATAAAAACCGTCTACGGGACGGGGAGCAAGTTCACCAAGTCCGCCTGGTACGAGGGGTGGAAGCACCCGGATCCAAATCGGTGGACTTTGTTTCCTGATCGGGACATTAAAAGACATGGTATGTATCATATCACCAACTTCATATCATTTCATAGCACAACTTCATAGCACACCTCGATGGAATGCTGAGCGATTGTAGCGGAAACGCGCAAGCGGTTCTCGAGCCTCTACTCCATGACATCGCTGGTGCATTACGAGGCGTTTGTGGATCGGTGCGCGGATCTCTTCTGCAGGCGGCTGCGGGAGTTCGCGGCCCGCAGCGAGGAGTTTAATCTCGGCCATTGTTTCCAGTGTTATGCGTTTGATGTCATTGGGGATATTACTTATGGGCAGCGGTTTGGTGAGTCGGCTTGCGCCTTGTTGGGCTATTTGCTTGCGGGCTGGCTAACTTTGGGAGGCTTCCTCGATCGCGGAGAGGATATCGAAGGGACGATTGCCGCGCTGCAGCGGCTGATGACGTACAGTACCCTTGTGGGCATATACCCCGAGTGGCACCCGCGGCTTTTTGGACCACTGAGCTGGTTCAGCTGGTCTGGTGCGGCGGGGAGAGAGTATATCATGCGATTCGTCCAGGAGAAGATCAGGGGTCTCTCTGTAAAGACTGACCTCGGGCAAGTCGAGCGCGGGCCTCTGGAGACGCAGAGCTTTGTCGAGAAGATGATCCTGGCACGGGACAAGGATCCGGAGAAGGTGACAGATTACCATGTTTTCATGATGGGGTTGTCGAACGTCATTGCCGGCTCGGACACCACTGCCATCAGTCTGTCGGCTATCATGTATTATCTCCTGCGTTATCCGGAGGTCATGGAGAAGCTTCGGCGCGAGATCGACGGCTTTACAGCGCAGGGAAAGTGCAGTGACAGAGTCACCTTCAGGGAGAGCCAGGAGATGCCGTATTTCCAGGCCATGATCAAGGAGGCGCTTCGCATGCACAGTGCCACAGGCTTGCCTCTGTGGAGGGTGGTTCCAGACGGCGGAGCGGAGATCAACGACTATTTCTTCCCTGCTGGTACGGTGGTGGGGATCAACACCTGGGTGGCCCATTACGATGAGGAAGTGTTCCCGGATGCAACGACTTTCCGTCCAGAGAGATGGATCGAGGCGGAGAGTAATCCGGAGAAGCTCAAAGCCATGAACGAGATGTACATGCCTGTAGGTCTCCTCTACTTCTCTCGGATGTAGCATACTGACGACTATAGTTCGGCCTCGGGACTAGGACGTGCCTTGGAAAACACATCTCCATTCTGGAAATGTCGAAACTCATCCCCCGGATTGTCCGAGACTTTGATTTCAGTATGGAGCTTGAGAATTGGGAGACAGAGAACAGGTGGTTTGTGAAGCCGACCAACTTTAGTGTCCGGGTTAGAGAGAGACCAGTGGCTCGATGAACCAAAGTCACGGCGTAACTCCCAAGTTCAGTTGCCGGTACTCCATGATCAATCCATTAATATCCCTCATATCACTATGATCGAAGCGAGAGAGTCCCCGCGCTGATGGCAGAAGACATTGTTCATCGCTATCGCTGGCGATGGTTCGGGCAACGACGATGCGAGCCAACTGCCAGAATTCAGGTGCATACCTCACAAAGCCGATCTTCTTCCAGATGGCCTGTGGTTGGTCGGGAACGTCCTTATCCTCGGGTTGTCGTGCGTTCCATATTCGACGCCAGTTGTCCAAACCAGTTTGGATCGGGGCGAGGGTCGACTCGAAGACCAAGGAGTTTTGCAGGTAAAATGTCAAGGAATGCACAGCTATATCGTTAGCAATGTTCCAACATAGAATAATCAACATACCTTGTATAGTCGTAAACAGATTCAGCGTTCCCATCTTTGAGAACTCGAGAACAGAGCGGTCATCCAGCTCTCTCTGGCATATCCGCCGTACGACACCAGCGACGGACAGTCTCTCAGACCAGAAGATACACCGTTCCCACTCCCTGAATGAGTAAAAGCACTCTGTAGCCGTGTTTGCCTGGAAGCAAACCTCGTGACAGGCCATGTCCATTTTGAGCTCCGAAACCACCATGCGTGGCGGAGTGTGGTGGAAGATCGCCATGGCGGCATCAATCAAGAATACATACGTCAGAGTCCTATCCAATTAGCATTAGTGGCGTGTAACCAAGCCGAGACAGACGTACCGGATCAATTCCTCCTCAATGACGAACTGCCTCCACCACGGCTTGGACGGGCTCTCCAGCCGTAAGTTGCGATGCGTGGCCGATTCAAGCCCGATGTCTCTCGCCAGCTGTTCTATTAGCAAGATTCGCAGATAGAAATGGAATACGCACCACGACCAGCGTCGCATGACGGTGCCTCCTCATCCGCCCCTGCGCCTCCACAGAGCCCTCCCTCTTCTGCAGTGAGCAGACAAGATACGCAGCCTGGATACATTCGACGCGCTTCTTCATCCCTTCGGCGTTCTTGTGTAGTGGACCCGTCGACGTATCTGATGTCTCTCTCTCCATAAAATACTCATCGCCGAATGTCATTTCTTCAACGCTGTCCAACCACATCTTGGCCGCTTCGTTTTCTTCCTCATGCGGCGACAGACATGCCCCAATAATCACCATAACACACAGCAGAGCGGTCCGTGCCGTCTCCGGATCGAACGACGGGCGGTGCACGATGGGACAGCTGGGGTACCACAATGACCAGAAATATTCCAGGAAGCGGCGGATGTTGCTAGCTGAGAAAAAGGCGGCGCAGGATTGTTGGACGGCAGGGGACCAGTCCAGTTTGATGATGGTTTTGTCTGACTTTGTGGTGATGGTTCGGCGGAGATGTTCAGTAATCTCGCGGGCCTTGTGAATGAGGATATCTCCGTTACTGGATGACAGGTCGATAAGTGAGGGGTCGATAGTTTCCGGCAGCAAGTCTGCACCATGCAATTCTTCGTATGCTCTTTCGTGCGGGTGTTGGTCAGCCCCCTTGAGGAGCTCCTGCCGCTGCTTGAGCGTCTCGCGATCCAGAAACGTAGCCATACCATTGGCGCTCGTAAAGTAGGCCAGATATTCCAGCCTCTCAGCCACCGTGATGCTGTCGGAAGCCAGTGGTGGTGCAAACAAGAAGTCCAGCGCGGAAAAGTCCATCGAGCTGGGGAGGTCAGGGAGGTCTCCATTTCGGTTTGAACAAGATGAGACAACGGCTCTCTCGCGTTCATTCTGTTGATCTAGCTGATATGACTGGAAATTTTCAGAATTCTCCACGACATCCTCCGGTTCTCTTACTCTGCATGTCCTTTCATGGCGTTTCAGAAGGTCTCTGTCAAGGCCCATTAGAGATGCTACATCATATGATCAGAATCATACTTTCGTGTGAACGATCTCCGACAGAGCGCACAGGCAAAGGGCCTGATATTTTCATCTGCTGCTATTAGTTACGTTCGCGGTCCGAGTCGGAAAGGTAGACATACGTGACCGAAGGTGTCTCCGGAGATGCTCTGAGCGGCTGAAACTGGTGCAGCAGTATGTGCATTGCCACGGACGATTAGACATAAGGACCTGAATGAATGAAGTTGATAGCGATGGATCAGATCATGCCAGGGCTGCAGGTTGAGGTCAAGCGCCAGGAGAGGAGGAAATACGAGGAATCCGGAGGTGGGGAAAACTAATCGATGCCTAAAGCTACAGAAACCGTTGACCAGTTGGCGTCTATTGTAAATATCTCCATCCGCGTCAATGCTGCGTACAGCCTCTCAGCTTGTCCAAACGAGGTATCTATAATTATGTACTGCATAGATCAACGCATCATCCCTTAGCTGACGCTAAACAGGTATTTTCTAGCGAGCCTTTTAATTCGCCAGGATCCTGGCTGCCATGGTTGATTTGTCTATCAGTAACCTAGCACAAGCTGTGCGCCTCAATCAACAGCAATCAGCCTTGTCACCCTTGTCAGCCTTACCACCTAGTTAACTGAGCGGCATGCCCCTCATTTCTTTCAATCATTGCCTGTTGGACACAGCTCGCAGCGTAGTACTTTGCAGTCATCGCATTTGGTACCTACCGCCAGGAAACTGACTGTGCTTTCCATGGATCTCTTCTCAGCGTTTGGTATAGCCAGTTGGTGGATGACCGGAGCTACGATTATTCTTGGAATTATCGGGACTTGTTCATAGCTTGGAAATGGTGATATCGCTAGAGTTATCTGGTCGTTAGCACTGAGTCGAGTGGTCATTGCCCAGAACTGGGCTCTGGTTCGCTTACTCGAGGTCAAGCTGAGGTACAAATGTAGGATATATTCTCGAATACAGTCTCCCAGGCACTTCGGGCAGGTCCTCGGGGATCTACAAGTTCTTTCAAAAGACTCTTTGTTTTGACGAGGAGGGTATCCAATGCCATATAAGCCAGTACAGTGATTGGCAGGGCTAAAGTCTCTGCATGTATTTTAAGAGTCTCTCACGGTCTAGTCAAGGAGATAGATGCATAGATAGACATAAGAATACAGCCTATGATCTCCTCATCAACATCATCTGTCGGCAACCCCAGCCCAAAACTACACGTCAGCACATTCTCCTTTCCAGGTTGTCTGCGCAACTCATCCTGCACGGCCAGAACAGCCACACTCGACGTTCTCCGGAGGCGTCGCCCGCTAGATCAGAGAGATCAATGAGATGAGAGGGCCAGGAGGTTCCCAAACCGGCGATGAGGACCTTCCCGGCTACACAATGAGGCCGAGTCCATGCGGAGGTGTGCGTTGATGTCTGCTGAGACCAGCCTACAGGATTCAGTAAGAGCCAGCGTCCTTGGCGCACTAGTGGTATATATACACTTATGTGCTTATCCAATGATATATACAGAGATATACAGAGTATACAGAGTATACAGCTAGACTAAGGCTGAGGCAGCTGGACAATATGCGCCTCGCCCAACTCCCCCTTGACGACCATCACCAGCTCATCCACCGCGGCCAACACCTTCACGTACGCCATCACCGCCACACAGTACCGGCGATACGCCTTCTCCCTAATGAGGTCAGTCTGCAAGGGCATCACCTCAGTCAACTGCGAACGCCGCCAATACTCATAGCAGCGTTTCGTCAGCGGCGTCGGCAGCACCTCCGGCAGGGGATCCCCCGTCTTGATCGCCTGCGCCACAACCCCCAGCACAGCCATGACGTCCGCGATGGACCGCTGTTCCAGCACCCCGGAAGTCCGCGACAGCCGCTCCTGCAGCTCGAGCGGCAGCGTCGCCGAGAGCAGCAGCAGTCGGCCCAGGTTCTGGTTGAGCGCCTGGCAGAGCGACTGGACCTGCCGCAAACTGGCGCTGTCGAAGCGGGAGCTGGAGAATTCCAGTCCGAGCAGGGCGATGGGGCCGTTCAGCGCGGCGAGACGCTCTGCGACCTCGATAGACAGCTGCTCCGCCATGCGCGGGTCGTTGTTGGGGCGTGCCCAGCAGGAGAGCAGGAGGGCGTAGTGGTCTGTCAGCCGGCGGAGGGTGTTGGACAGCGAGATGCAGATGTGTCGTGCTGCCGAGGGGGGGCGAGGGAAGATCTGAACGATCAGTGCGGCGGCGAAGCCGACAAAGACCAGGACCAGACGGCGCCAGAAGACACTGTAGCCGACGCCCGGGTTGCCGTACTGAGGGATTTGTCTGCAGTGGTCAGTATGCATATAGTCAGGGGCCATAATGGCAAAGGGGCAAAGGGGAGCTTACATATCAGCGAAGCTGTATCCGATGACGAGGAAAAAGGTTGCGGCGCTCATGATGGTCGCTTGCAGCATTGCCGGGCTGAGAAATAGTCGTCCCCACATGAAAATCAAAATAATCGGAACGGATATGGCAGCCAGTCCGTACGGATTGCCCGGTCCATGTCCGGAGCCGATATACCAGGCGACCAGTCCTACGACGCCTCCGATGACCGTGCCAACGGCCCGGCAGATGAGCGAAAAGGTAAAGTCGGACATGTACACCAGCAGCGTGGTCTGCCCCATGATGAGTCCCCAGAGGCCTTTTTCACGGTAGTAGAATCCCGCACTCGATGGAATGACGGCCGGCACCGCTAGGGCGATCGTCAAGACGACCATGCGCAAGGCAAAAAGACCCTCGGCACTGACAAACCAGTGATACGTCCCCAGCACCACGCGTCCGAGGCCACTCCGCTGCTTGACGCGGTATCCCCGGCTGATCCGGCGGAAGAGCTGCTGTGTCTCATCCGTCTGGTCTGCTGGGTCGTCCGGGTCCGGGTCAGACGATTGTCCCGCGACCGGAGTGCGAGCTTCCCGTCGCAGCACCCATCCAACGGCGTATTCGATGCTGGTGGGAAACCACAGACGCGGCTTCGGCCGGGCCTCGAGGAGAGCCACGATCTGCGACAGGAACTGGTCCAGAGCGTCCGCGACGGAGATGACCAGCTCCTCAAAGGCCAGGCCGGCCATGACGCTGCTGATGGACGTGCCGCCAATGGTATCGAGGCGCTTGAGGCTTCCACTTTCATCAAAAATCTCGCCGTGTTTCTCGATCAGCTTCTCGGTGGTCTCCTCGGCAAAGGCGTCCCGCACGGTACGCAGCTTCTCCAGGAGTTTCTGACACTCGTCCAACCGATCCGCAGCCCGCGAGCCCAGCCAGCGGTGCGAGTTGACCGCGTGGATGCACTCGACCGCCATGCCAGCCACCTCCTCGCAAACCTGCAGAATCTCCCCGCTGGATTCCCGCAGAATGGCATCCGTTCCGGACCGCAGGGCCTCTGACTCGGGACTGGTCATAGCTTCAACCATCTCCAAGCTCTCCATCATCTGCCGCTGTCCGACTTCCCCTTTGCCTTCCTGTCGGGGTCCATCCGAGGTACTCACTGGCGTCCCCGCCTTGGATATCGCCCGGACGCGGTCCACACTAGCCCGCGCACTCAGCCGGTTGATATGATAATCCAGCAGTGACACCGTGCTCACAAGAACCTGCCGCACAGGCTGCCTCAGGCTCTTCACATCGGCTGCATTCCACCGGCCGCGCGAGAAATCCAGCGGCAGGAACCCCATCGCCGGCTCCATGGCCTTGTATCCAGCGATGAGCTGGCCCTTGAGCGCCATTAACGTCTTCAAATCCAGATCCTCGGCGTGGGCGGCCGTCAACCTGAGCGGCTGCTTGGCCAACCCGACAAATGCCTGCATACCAGCCAGAACGGCATGCGACGTCGACTGCGGGAAGAGCAGCAACGAGGCGACAAGACCCAGTCCCGCGCCAATCGCCGCAGGGATGATCAGGATCTTCGGCAGCGTCCCACGAAACGAAGGCAGGAGTGGGCCTACCGTCAGGAACAGATCGCCAATGATGGTCCCGAAGATCTGGACGAGCGTGAACTTGGGATTTGCGGCGCGCAACCGGGCCTATTCATGTCAGTCACCCTTATTAATCAAAAAGAGGGGGGAACTTACCAAAAAGTAAATAAAGACACACATCATAACAAAGTAAATGACCGAAACGCGCGCATCAAGCATGAACCCGTCATAGATGAGCTGCGACTGCACGCTGGCCGCACTCTGGCCGGTGGCATTCGCCTGTCTAGCTGCCTCCTGTCCGAGCGCCTGCAGACGGGCCATCGTGTCCGTTTGAGGACGAGCGGCCAGCGCGGCTTTCATGCTGATGACGCCCCAAGCCCAGGCGAGGGCCATACCAACCAGCAGGGTCAGCGTCCCCAGGATATAAATGAAGAGGATGCCTGACGGCGGATTGATGAAGAGAACCAGACTATCAAGTTAGCATCAAAAATGAATTGTATGGCTAGGATCAACTCACCATCCGAAAAACGTGGCTGTACCGATAGTTCGCAGAGTGGGATGGATAAAGATCAGGATGGTGGCGACCCATGCTGCGGCTGCGCAGCGAAAGAGGGTTTTGAGGTCGTGGGAATTGAAATGGAGCCATCCCGGCAGTGACTTCTTGCCGGGGGTTTGTGAGGACATTGTTCTCTCGATGGTGATGCAATGGCAATGTCAGGAGAAGAGAAGAAGCAGGAGATGAATGGACGAGAAAAACGCGGAGTTTTTTAGAGTTCTTCTACTTGGTGGATACATTCCTGGAGCAGTCAGGATCGACAACAGATCGGCAAACCTCCATTATGATGAAATAGAAATGGACTATCGGAACTAAGATCTACTATTAATGAGACTATCTAAATTTGTCTGAAACTAGCTATTTGCTCTTTGTGCCGAAGCGCGGCTTTTCTTCTGCGCAAACTGGGGGAACTAGTCAGTTACCGAGGTATCTATGCACCATGACTATGGAATGTAAGCTAGACTAAGAGTGCATCGCGGACCCGTTTTTCAGCCTAGTGGAGTCGATTTCTTTAAACTAACTGGTTATACATTCTGTTTTCGCTAACTCACGTTCCTTGTCTTGATCTAATGTCTTCACTCGGACCCGGAGGCCTGGAAGAAGAGCGCACGCTATTCGAAGCAATCCAGCGCAACGACATTGCTACAGTTACCCAACTTCTAGACAATGGAGTCTCCCCAGATGGGCGCACTTTAGACTGTTCCCCACTGCACGAGGCCATTCGGTACGGCAGACATGAAATCATCACACTACTGCTCCAGCATGATGTCCACGACCGCGCGGATGAGATGGGGAGAGATGCCCTCCATTGCGCAGCAATGAAGGGAGATCCGCAGATCCTTGAAACGATTATCCAATTTTATAGGCAGAGAGCGTATAGCTTTTTTGGTCGGGCGGGTGCGCAGGAAACGCCGATTCATTTTGCAGCAATGAGCCGCAGCCTGGAGTGTGTGCAGGTGCTGGTTCGCGAGGAGGCGAATATCCATGATGTGACTATGGATGCAGAGACGCCGTTGCATTTTGCGGCCGGGGAAAGGAGTGAATGGGTTGAGGAAACGAGGGAGGATGAAACAGCGGTGTTGAAATACTTGATTGCCGCAGGGGCAGATATCAATGCTCTTACTTCAACCAGGGAGAGCCCGCTATGGTACGCTGTTCAGGCAGACAACCTTCCTGCTGTGAGGGAGCTACTTGCTGCATCAGCAGATGTCCAGCTCCGCAATATCTATGGAGAGACTGTGCTGCATGAAGCGGCCTATCATAGTTCGCTAGCTGTGGTGCAGGTGCTGGTAGACGCTGGCGTGGATGTCCATGCCCGGAGCAAGACAAATGGATCTATCCTGCACCGCGCAGCAGAAGGCGGTCGTGTAGATACTGCGCAGTGGATACTCGATCATAGTCGCTTGACTGTGAACGAAACTGGTAGCCATGGCTGGACCCCATTGCACTCTGCTGTTTTTGCGTACCAGATAACTATGACCAAGTACCTTCTCGAGCACGGCGCTGACCCAAACATCGGATCAAATCCTGGAAACCACACGGCTCTACATTATGCCGCGTTTTCACATCGAGCGGAAGCCGATTCCCCACTGGTCCGCTATATGATCCAGTATGGCGCCGATGTCAACGCGGCCGCCGATTCGCGCTGCTTCTCATCCCCAGGACAGATAGGCGAGCGGCTACACGAGTGGTTCTTTAATCCAATACCAGACAGGTGGGAACTCGTCTATCCAATTCACTGTGCTGTTTGGGCAGGTGTTCGTAGCAGGGTGGAGGCCCTGCTAGAAGCAGGGGCTGATATCCATGCCAGAACAAGCATATATGGCAGTACTCCCCTGTACCTGGTAGCGCGAGGTGGTGGACTTGAAATGGTTCGCTTTCTCATTTCCAAAGGCGCGGATCCCGAGGCAAGAGACACTGCTGGCTGCAAGATGGCGCATCATTTAGCGTTTAGGTTACGGCAGACGCCTAGGATTGCATGGGAGTTTCTGGTGGAGAATCAGTTATGGGATCCGTCGACGGTGGAGAAGGATTTGGAAAGAGCCAAATTATATGAACAGATGTTCAAGTGTTCTAAGGCGAGGAAGATATCTAACCGGTAACTACCTACCGTCAATTACATGAGAAGAAATTGTGCAGCAGCCGCTTTCATTGCTACGGTACGATGTGTTCAGCATGGACCCCAGCTCAGGGGTCTTGCCCCAGACACTATCGCTGCGTGAGGTCTGCGAGCACAGATACTGAGTATATATCCATCAGCTATTTATGAAGGTGCAGATGGACGTACCTGGCCGTTCTCCAGCAAGGAAATCAGCTACTCTAGTAGTCAGGCACTCATCTGCATCGCGGTACCAATTGATTGATCAAGTGAAGCAGCATGATTGACTATGTTAGAAACACTGATAAGAGTCTCATCTCCATGGTACCTTAGAACAGAGGCTTATACGACAAAATAGTATTCTATTGGACACCAACCAAAGAGGAGAGGTTAGGAAATATGTATTAAAAAGGTGGATAGATATACCTACTATACTGTACGACAAGCTAGAAGGCTTAGGAGAAACATTCGCATATAAGGACATATATATATATATATACAAGACAAAGCCACAAGTAGCTATTCCTACACACGCCTGACCCATAAAACATCCTCGGTATAACCCAACATCTCACGTCTATCATCACAGATCCTTGCGTACTCAAGCAACAATCGATACGTATATATCTGCATATCTTCGGGGCGGAGAACCTTCTCCGCCCACTTCCTGCCGTTCAGGGCAATCTTTCGCGCGGCGTGGTCATGGCCAGGCCCGCCGTATCCAATAAAGTACTCCATTATGCCGTAGATTTCCAGAAATGTCAAGTCCATGGGGACGAAATGGGCCCACGGAATGAGTCGAGAGTCGTGCCATTCCTTGTAAATGGTTGCTTTGATGGGAAGAGAGGTTGAGAATAAGAAGGCGAGATACCGTCCGCTGGTGGAATTGCCATCCACGTCAGGCAGATATTTGTAGCCGTACTGCTTGTCCACGGGCATTTCGGGAACGAGGGTAAAATAAGGTTCCGTGTAGGAGCAATGCGGATCTGTCAGATTGTACTCACAGCGCTCTCCGGGAGCACAGGAATAGCACCCTAGATGGACGAAGCCAGCATCGACATGTTCCTCCACAAACTCGCGGAGGCGACCAGCACGACCCGAGGCCAGATGGTAGTAGTCATAGCTGGGGAGAATAAAGTTCAGAAAGTGAGAATTGTTCTGTTCGGCAGCGGCGACAGATGTGCTATTCAACATGGATAGTAGGCGATGGCGGTGGGACCCCGTCCAGATGTTGGCTCGGTGTCGACCTCCAGACGCAGTCCCGCGCCAAATCAAGGAATCTTTCTTCGATTCCCATTCACCGTCGTGTTTGGTGCCGTCAGAGTGTCCATTGTCCTTGGACCAGTAGACAGCGGGAGGGATGAGGATCTCGTTACTGACTGCCAGCTTGGATCCTCCAAAAAGAGGAAATAACTCATGTGTTGTTGAAACGGACTCTGGCTCGATGAAAGCTTCATGAAGAGCCTGCATCTCAGGGCGCCAACAGATATCCTTGGACTTGGTCCAGTTGCGCACATAGCCATTCTGTGAGTGTTGCAGAAAGTTTTCCATGGCTACAGGCAAAACGACATCTGGGTTTATTTGGTGACCTTTGCGCGACGGACTGTGCGGCGGGCAGCCCACACGAGCCCTGTCCCAGAAGTGACCATCATTGGAACTTAGGAAGTGAGGTTCAAATGGCTCAAACTTGTCTTCATTTGTAGCAGCTGTGTATTCTGTGATAAACTCTGCAGGACTTTTATCTCTCGTCCCTTCTCGGCTTGCACGTTCCTTGACCATGTATTCAGATATGGCTTCCGAAGGCACAACGATTCGGGATTCATCCATGGGGTTAACGGGCATGTCGAGGTCAGGAAGATATCGCTCGATGCTCCGCACAAGATTAAGCCAAGAGTCTAACCAAAGTGCTTCGTGGTCCGTAATAGCTGTCGCTGTACGGTTGCTAACAGCGATGCGAGGTTTGAGACTCTGTGCCTGTCGTCGGATCTCCTTCGGTTGGAGGCCCCAGAATGGGTTCAGGTCATCATAGATCTGGTCAAACAAATCCTCGATAATGAGCGCATCCTTAGACCTGGCGAATTCGAACCACTCTTTGAAGCCTGGTGGTGGATGTCGTCCCCGACGGCGACGATACTGGTCTGTTGCCGCGTTGAACGATGTTGCCTCCTTTGCAAGCAGTGATTGCCATTCTGCATCGGCTTTCGTGATGAGTTGATCGATAGGATGGTCTCCTGATAATGATGATGATGATTCTGCGTGGTTGTATGGTATATTAAACGCTACCTGTTGTTTGCTCCGACTGGCAGACCACCAACACCCCAGAGTAAACGAGATTCCTAACAATATAATAGCAACAAATTTGAAATTCAATGATGAACGTTTCACCATGTTGGAGGGGGAATGCATTGACAGAAAGAGAGGGTGGCTTGGGAGAATGATCACGACACGGTGACCCCAGTCATTCAGTGCGACAGTGCCTAGTCGGACACAGGTTCTGACTCTGTCCCTAACCCATGTCGCCAAGCATGAATCTCGAACTTTTTGGACACAATCGAGTAGGTAGCTGCGCCGCAAACTGTCCCAAGCTAGTCCACTATCCATGTAGCTACGGAGCCCCACGGAATCCAATGATTGGCTGAATTCCAAGTCACATCAAGCTCTCGAGTGGATTATTTTCGACTGGTAAGGCATTGATTGACTTTTCGGATAAGGTTAAGGTTAAGATTCCCCGGCGTCGTGATATTGATGAGAGGGTTGAATTCGATGCAATTGAAGGTATTTCCCCTTCGTTTCTCCCAAAGTCATCACTCCGGAGTATGAAGCAGGTACGCAACGATCATGTAACACCTGCATTTCATGCGTTGATTGTTCGAACCCATGCGCTTCGAGGATAACTAATTGGCTGGAAGAATACGCTCAACCAGCGCTAATCAAGGATTAAGGGAGACTACTGCTGCTACTGCGCCTGTCGCAGTTAGTGCTATAAGCATGGTTAACTTCGGAAATGGCCGGCCGACTTCGAAAAAGGGACACCAACATTGTCCAGTGCCCGGAATCGTTTGCTTTGTCATCTTCTGACCGGAAGATGTTGGAGTTGTAAAGATTATGAAGTAGCCACACTTGTAGAAGGGAAATGATGTCTCGCCAACCCTTGGACCGAGACCCATAGGACTATGTTGGCGCTAACGGCTCCCTAGCTGCCTAGCCTTCCTAACGACGCCATAGTTTCAAGTTCTCGAGTGGGGTTAGTCGGGGAATGAGCCGTCAATAACATCGAGTAACCTTGTCTGCCTTAGTACGGGCCTTTGGGGCCCTTTTGGAGTCCAGGAGGTCCCAACTGGCCCAATCATAACTCTCAACCCTCATGTATTTGAAGTATTTGAAGTATTTGAGGTATAGTTGTAGTTGCTCGTCCTACCCGTCGTGCATTTAGGAAGCCTTAATGTAAATTTAATATGAAAGCGGATTGACATTATGCTTATGGTTGGTACCTTTCGGGTCTCTTAAGCCGAATGTGATAGGACGGTCTATCCCATTCTCCGATGGAGTCGTCCTGTTGAGTTCAATGTTCTAATGTATATCGATCCTTTGGAGATCTACTCCTCCCTCTGGCACATGGCCATAGTACAATATGATAGGATATGCTGCAATCTCTTTCCTCTCATGAGTCATTCCAGTTAGTCTTCCTCGAACAAATTTACCTGACTCTTGGGTTTGGGTACTGCAACTCTTGGAATACTCTACTCCTCACGGTGGTGGCGTACGTGATCCCACATTTCCAAGAGATTATGGGATAGAAAGGCTGGTGGTGTAGCGGTTAGCGACTTCAGCGTTACATCCATACCCAATATATCTCGCAGTCTACTGCACGTTCACTGTGCCATCTTTTACTATCGTGAGACACTCGGGGAATTGGACCAGTCGTTACCTTGTCCCCTTGGTAGTTAGCTAAATAGGATATTGCTGGTCTAGTCCAAGACTCCAGAGTTTGCCAACGCACTCGGTTATAGAAGGCAGTGTTTCAACGTGGCAGTCAATGGCAGTCAATGGGTTGGGGTATAAGAACGCTCTCTCTCTCCCACCCTTAGCAGTTATATCTAGACAGGTACTCGAGAGCATCCCTTTATCAGTGCCTTGAGCGTTGGCCCGAGTTCAATATTCTGAAACCCATCCAAAATGCGCGCAACTCAACTTGCCCTCCTTACCCTTGCCGCTTCTGCAAAGCTGGCCACCTGCTTCAAGATTCCCGAGGGAACCACGGACGGGGTTTATAAGGCCTATATCAACGAGAACGGTGTTGAAGTTCACGAGCCTCTCCTCCCAGAGGACATCGTCCCAGTGACAGACTCCGAACAACTCGAACCAGCCCATTTCGACATGGCAATGGCAGCAGACCCTAGTTTCAGTGCTTGGTGGTGCGGCTGTGGTATAACCATGTAAGTGGCCAAGTCTATCCAGTACTTTCAGCCATTCTAAGTGCTTTAATGTAGGAATCATGGTGACTGCGACGCGGCGGTGCAGGCCCTGAAGAACCAGTTCGGCTCGGGAACGGTTCAGATAGGAGCAAATCTGGCGTGGTATTCGATCAGCGGCAGCGTGGTGGCATTCGCCTGCAACAAAGTTAATGCAAGAGCGGAGGCCAGCGCGGATCGTCTCACTAGGAGCCTCCAAAGTATCACAGATAGGTGTGGCTGGTACGTTCCGGGGACCACGAGGTTTGTCACAAACCTATGGCTCGATCCATACTGGGGATATATGAATTACCAGCCTGGGCTGGACTTTTGCACCATGTCTACCAATTCTGGATCTAACAGATGCTGATACAGAGGCACTCTGGGTGTCTCGACTCTGGAGATAAGTATGGGCCAGGCCATCCTGGGAGATATTGCTGGCCAAGCATTAGTGTTAACATAATCACTGTCCTTCAGATCCTTTCATTTTCATTGTAGGAGTAATCACGTAGATGTCATTTACCTTAAGCACCAACCTCTGGGAGTTTTGTATATTGAATGTGAGTGTATTGTCTAGAGTCGTATGTCTTGCATGTTGACATTTCTCAGGTATGTATATATCTTTTTCATCTGACAATTCCGCTTTATGCAGTAACCTGTATAAGGAATGGTAGATTCTGTAGACTATCCCTACACGCTTCTTTACCATTTTCCCCATGCTAGTATTTGGAGCACAATGGTGCCATGCATTTGATATGCCAGAAGGAATGTCCTTCCGTCACTCAGGCTCAATAATGGAGCATTGACCCAACCGCACTGTATACCGGATCTGGTTGATATCTATTTCGATCTATGTCCAGAACAATAAATCTACCATCAGAGCTTCCCCTTCTCAGGAACAGATACTGAGACAGAATCAAATTCAAGTTCAACAAGCAACATCCCTTCGACTACATCCTCCTCCCCATCCTGAACCTCAAACACCCACTTTGCGCGTCCCGCGCGCGGACTCCGCACCTCCAGCTCCATCTTCATCTGCTTGACAAACGCAACAACCTGGTCCTTGGCAATAGCCTGGCCAGGCCTCACCAGCAACTCGATCAATTTCCCAGACAGCGGCAGCACGATATGCCGCGGATTGGACGGGTCGCCGCGACGATGGCCCGAGACGAGGGCGCTTGCTGCGGTGTTTGCGCCTGTGGCTGCGAGGTGCAGTTTGTACGGGATGGACGCCGCGGGCGTGGTGTACTCTATCTCGGCCGTTAGGGAGGAGGGGAAGTCATTGCGAAGTACGCGGGAGAGACGCAGGTGGTGTCGGGTTTCGGTGTCTTGCGAGGTTGGGGTTGACGTTAGTGGGGACAAGGAGATGCTCCATGCGTCGCCGCGGCGGAAGAGGAGCGAGGATGTTGGCAGCTGCAACGCCGGTTTCGCTGGCTGGTTCGACGAGACAAGCGACGCAGAGATATGTTCGCCTGTCCCCAGGACAGACGGCAGATTCCTCTCCAGCCACTGCGTGTCGGTCCTCCCCGCTAAAAAGTCCTCGGTTGCGACAATCCCCCGCAGGAGGGGGAGGTTCGTTTTGACGCCTTCGACGCGGGTGTCGCTCAGCACGCGCCGCGCCTTGCGCACGACGGACTCCCAGCTCGAGGCTGTGACGATGATTTTTGCCAGCAGGTTGTCAAAGTCCGAGGCTACAGTTACTGGAGGTGCCAGGTGCGTGTCGACGCGGACGCCGTGGCCATGGGGCACGAAGAAGTCGGTGATTTTGCCGATGCTCAGCGCGAAGTTGGCGCTGGGGTCTTCGGCGCAGAGACGGAGCTGGATGGATCGTGCTGAGGGTCTCGACATAGACTCCGTCAGGATTTTCTGGAGAGGTTCTCCTCGCGCCAACCGCAGCTGCGCCTGCACGAGATCCACTCCCGTTACGGCCTCGGTGATGGTATGCTCCACCTGCAGCCGGGGGTTGATTTCGAGGAAGTAGAATTCGGGCGTGGTCTCGCTGACGAGGAACTCGAACGTGCCGAGTGATCGGTATCGGATGGTGAGGGCGATGCGCAGCGCCGCCTCGATTACTTTCTCTATGATCGACCGGTCCAGAAGGGACGGAGCACACTCGACAATCTTCTGGAACCGCCGCTGCACGCTGCAGTCTCGTTCGTGCAGGTGGTGGACAGTCCCTGTCCCGTCGCCGAGGACCTGCACCTCGACGTGGTGGAAGCCGTCCACGGCGGCCTTTTCAACGAAGACGGTCTGCGAGGGGGATTCGTTCCGGGCTCTGGCCACCAGGTTCGCCAGCTCGGATGCTTGGTGCTGGTGGATCAGCCGGATGCCCCGTCCGCCGCCCCCGTCGACTGCTTTGATCATAACGGGGTACCCGACTCTCTCGACGAACGCGCGGATCTCATCCAAAGATTGCGCGGAATGAGATGGGAGGACTGGTACCCCGCAGGATGCAGCGAGCGCTTTGGCTTGCAATTTATCGCCGGTTTGCTCGAGGATGTCGGCCCCCGGCCCGATGACAGTCACCCCAATCTGGTGCATGCGGCGGGCAAACTCGGCGGATTCGCTGAGGAAGCCGTAGCCTGGGTGGACAGTGTCGATGGCATGTTCCTGACAGACTTTTACAAGCAGGGATATGTCGAGGTAGGAGGCTGCAGAGGGCAGCGAGATAGTCTGGTCGGGGTGGCTGAGGAGACAGTGCGATGTGTCGTTTGGGGTCGATAGGGCGACTGTGTGGATGGGGGGTGAAAGCTCGCGGGCAGCTTGCAAGATGCGCACCGCGATCTCGCCTCTGTTGGCTATCAAGACCTTTTTCATTATGGATTGAGATGCATCGATTGGTGGTGTCGTGTACATCCCAGTCTAGATATAGAGATATAGATATGGGGAATGATGCGGGGAACCTCGGTTCTCGGTTCCCCGCATTCTTATATACATTCAAGCATCTTGCAACGAATCAGTACATTCAAGTATTGGACTAATCTACAAAATGAAAGACGATACAGCGTCCAAACGCCTCAATCAACTCTCCTCCCACCTATCCGCAGCCCAGCTGCCACCAGACTACTCCGACGTCCTCTCCACCATCAACACTCTCAAAGAAATCGCCGCAACCCCCAACCCCTCTCACCGGGGCTACGCGCGCCAAAAACAAGCCGGCAAGCTCTGGGTCCGTGAGCGCATCACCCAGCTCCTCGACCCCAACTCCTTCGAAGAAATCGGCTCCGTCTCCGGCACTGTCACCTGGAAACCCACCGGCCCCACCACGGAGGTCCCCGAAACCTTCACGCCGAGCAACAATGTCCAAGGCTTCGGGAAGCTCCAAGGCCGGCGCGTCCTCCTCACAGCCGACGACTTCAGCATTCGCAGCGGCCACGCAGACGGCTCCACGGCCGACAAGACAATCTACGCCGAGAAGCTAGCCATCGCGCTCAAACTGCCCGTCATCAAGCTCGTCGACGGCAGCTCCGGCGGCGGCAGCGTGACCACCATCCGCAAAGAAGGGTGGAGCTACCTCCCCTATGTGCGCATGTACGCGCAGGTCGTCGAGCAGCTGAACAAGGGCATTCCGAATCTGGGGGCTGTCGTTGGACCCGCTGTAAATCCCTCCCTTCTTCTTTCCTCTGTGCTAGACTAATGATGATAGATTGGTCTCGGCGCAGCACGCGTCGTCTCGTGCCATTTCTCCGTCATGGCGGCGGATATCGGCGCGCTGTTCAATGCCGGCCCGGAGGTGGTCGCCAACGCCACCTTCGAGGAAGGGCTAGACTTTCAGGACCTGGGCGGGCCTATGGTGCACTGCACCAACGGGACGATCGATAACCTTGCGGCCAACGAGGCCGAGTGCTTTGAGCAGTTGCGGACGGTGCTCGGGTTCCTGCCTAACCATGGTGGCGAGGCGCCTCCGGTCCTGAATTGTGAGGATCCAGATGATAGAGAGGACGTCGCCTTGCGGAGTGTTATCCCGCGTCGTGCGGCGAGGATGTACAACCCGTACACGATCATCCGGAGCGTGGTGGACGCGGGCTCGTGGTTTGAGATTGGGGGGTTATGGGGCCGGACGGCGATCGGGGGGCTGGCGAGACTGGGTGGGCGGCCGGTGGGGATCATCGCGAACAACTGCGAGGTGAACGGGGGTGCGCTGGATGCGGCCGGGAGCCAGAAGCTGGTGCGACTGCTGAAGCTGTGTGATGTGATGAATCTGCCGATTGTGCAGTTCGTTGACGTCCGTACGTTTTTGTCTCCCCCTTGCAACTGTAAAGAGAAGATGCTAAGTGCTAATGTGTAGCGGGATATGCGATTGGGACCGTCGCCGAACGCAACGCCACGATGCGCTGGGGCGTCGAGCTGGCCAAAACCTACTTTGCTACGACGACTCCCATTTTCAACGTGATTACAAGGCGTGCGTATGGTGTCGCCGGGGGTATTATGCTCGGTGCAAGAGACCCCGTGGTGCAGGTTGCCTGGCCGTCCGGTCAGTGGGGATCACTGCCGCTGGACGGGGGAATCGAGGTGGGCCATCGCCAGGAACTGCGAGAGGCGGAGCAACGAGGTGGGAAAGAGGGCAAGGCTGCACGGTATAAGGAGTTGGAGGAGGAATATCTGCGGCTGATGAATCCCGTGCGGACGGCCAATGCGTTCGGGGTACAGGAGATTGTCGATCCCAAGGATACAAGGAAGATCTGCTGCGGATGGGTCAGACATGTGTACGAGGTGTTGATGGCTGAGCGATTGGCTTTGAGGAATTGTGGGAAGATCCAGCCTGTCTTTTCATAACAGTCAACTGATGCTACGGAGTGTTCTATAGAGCTGGCCTAGGGTAGCCATATCGGAAGGTACGGAGAACTGGGCTAGCAAGGGTTGTATCCTCAAGAATATGATTCCCGGAAGGTTCGGCTACCAGCTCAACCGACAGACTGTAACAGTCCCCTTCCCCTGTGCCAAATGTGCACGCAGTCATTGACGCCATTCACTAGCTGGACTTGTTCGTCTAACCCGCAAGGAAAATAGAAGAACCGTTCTTCCCAGCATCTTGCGTGGTCTCGTTGGTTTTTATGCGCGAGACATCCTGCATAACAGTACGTTCTGCATAAATTTTGTATCTTAGTAATGTACTTACATATCCACCCATCTGGACTGAGATCTCTTGAACGAGGAGAAGCCTTCTTCTCCCATGAGGCTTGGATTGGAAACTCTAAGGCCTCTCCCGGTGTGTTTGTACCTACACTATGTCTTAATTTTGACCTCCATTTGTGGCTCAGATGACCCTTAGAATAAAAATTCACTATCTCAAGTAATTGACAAGGACAGGACTCAGTATGCCATGACATCTCCCCATTTACTTATCGTCAACCTTCCAACCAGTCATTGTGCCACATCCATGATCCCCCTACTCGATCTAAGCTGTCCATCTCAGCTTATATCGTATACCAGCCAGTCTAGCACTGAATGGAAACGCCGGCGTACAGAACCGAGTGACAACCAGTGTCAGGCACCTTGAACGAAGACCCACGGCAGTTGTTTCCACTCCACGTTTTCACGGTGCAGCCACTTATCACATTAGCTTCTGCCTGGATCAAGGCAACGAGGGCAAAAGGTGACTTACTTCATGGAAGGCACCGAAATAGACCGCTTGTTGGTGACAGCAACACACCGATAGGAGCCAGAGCCGACAAGGCTGATCGAGTCAACTGGGCCATCGCAGAGGTCGCCGCCCCAGAATTTGGCAGTAACATCAACGTTGCTCGCCTCAACGTCCATCACGTTGGTCTCAAGGGGAGACGCCATGAGGGCAGCGGGGAAAATGCCGAGGAGCAGGGTGGTGAAACGCATGATGGAGGATTTGAGCTTCCTGCTTTCCTATAGGAAGAGGACAAGGTTCCTAAGTAGAGGTCAAGATGATTGCAAGTAATGAAGTAATGGTAAAAGATCTCACAAGCAGGAGGATGGGGTCCCTTTTATAGTTTTTCAGTGTGTCCTTTCACACGGCGAGTTGCTGCTCCCCTAAATCAGGTATGAGTATGTATGCAGACATATCTTGCCTAGCCTCGCTGAGAGCACAAGGAGACTTCCCTGACGCAAGGTTCTTGATCACCCCTGTAAGCCATGGCGGATAATGATACGCCATGAAGCAGCTGAGGTGTTCGAGTAGCTCCGTAGTCTACTGCGCCACTCCACAGATAATGCTACCATGGCAGGGTAGGTATATCATGTCTGTAAAAACGACGCATATCTAAGTGTGGACTTACTGAACATAACGCACCCAATAATTTGCGAAGCCCTCACTTGAGATAGTTGGATGGGCCTTGATGGCGAGGACATTATGTGAGGAAAACAAATCTTGTGCATGGATTTTTTCCCCAGTGTAGTAGGTATTGTAGATTTTTATTTTTATTTTTAATTGTTTATTTATTTATTTTTAATATACTTGGCACTGCTGCTTCAATCTCTTGAGAGCGCCACTGAGCTCTAGATAAGCGCCATTGTGATGAAACCCATATAAGTCTGGACATATATGGCTTCCTACAGAAAAGGACAAATATTGCACAGAACTCATGCTGATATTATACATAAGGGCCAGCTCACAAACCTATCCAATTACAGGGTATAGAATATCAAGCCATATAGACATTATTTCCATGATTGTCTGATTATAGATTGAGTGAAAAGGCTCAGGGTGCTAGCTACCTTCGTCGTAATACCATAATTAAACCCCGCAAATACGAAACAACCTGGCGCTGATAGAAGCGTTAACGGAATAACCTAACAACTGGACTCTCTGTTCAGAAGTAACTCGAATAAACCAGGAACGTTTTAGTGCTTTTGATGGTCCCCTGGCACCCGAAAGTCCTCAACTATCTATAGGCACGGCGCCATTCTAGTGTGGCCAGGTCATAAGCTAAATCAGTCCCACCACAAAGAAACGTCAGTGGCAGTAGGAAGATAGCAGAGGACTACATTGCTGGTTGTTCCATTCATTTGTACAGTCAGTGTACCCTTGCCTTGAGAAGGGATACCTGTATTGACATTTCTTTTGGAAGCTTCAACGTGCTTATCTCTGTTCCGATGGCTATTTTCAGCCACTTCCCGAGAGCTGCCGCCAAGGTTAATCACCTTTTCGAACACCTGGTTACACCCACACTCTCCCTTCGTACTATGCGCTCCGCCTCTTGATAGATCCCCCTAGATCCACCTCTATTAAGCCAGTTGGCAGGGCTCCGAGACAGCCTAAACTAGCGCTAGTGGAGATCGTACAAGCAGTGAGCCTTGTGGGTGAGCAAACATACAGAATAGCATGAATGTCACGGTCTATGTCACTCCATCGATCAAGACTCCGCAGTTCATCCATCTAGCCTAGGGAACTTACTAAGATGGCCAGTTATCTCACTATCAATCTGTCGGCTTTCACTAGGTCTGACTGGGGTACTTTGCACCAAAATTCTGAGGACGTAAGTGTATATAGAGCGAGGAACCGACATACCAGTGTTGGCAAAATCTGGATAAGCAGCTATGCGGAGCCCTTATGCTATGAAAACTGTGCCAATAAAGACAGAGACCTCGGCAGGATGTTATCCCCTAGAAAATGATCTGCTAGAACGACAGGATCTCACAGGGATCACCCCTGATCCCTGCACTAGCTTCAAAAGTCCGGCCCTGTTGTGGTTTGATTCACATTCATAACCCCACAAAGTCCAACAATCGTTGATATTTTCATAGAGAATACCATCAGTGTACTATCCAATTGCCATAACTCTTGGCCAGAGCCTATCTCTGGCGGCACAGTGTGGTCTGATTCACCAGTATGCACTCAAGTATGAAAGACTCTTGCGATCAATCTCAGTCATTTTCAAATAGCCGAGCTGCCCTGAGCAATGGCATTGGATGTAAACATGTTGCACGAAACTTGTTCCCAGAAAACAGAAACTTGCTGTTCCATGGGTTTAGTACTTTTGTTCTGTTCCTGTAGCCAAGGCACAACGGAGTTAGACCCACGTTCTTGGCCAGCTTCCGTAGCCAATATACTCATACACACAAGCTAGCTTGTGGATAATTAGGGCGCTTAAGGAGCAGGACGTCGGTTGGCGTTAGACTAACTTATAAGCCATAGTGTGTTACATTAGCCTAAGGCAAGGCGTAAGCCACCGACATGAATTTGAGGATTTGGAGGCAATCTACTCATTTATTAGGTAACAGATATATCCACCCTCTCTAAGATGAATCCATCATTGGGAGGTCTCTATCCTCGTACCGGATGATGTACCGAGTTGGATGGATATGCTGATGGCCGGCACGATATAGGCGAATGATGAGAATTAAGACCCAAGTAGTCAGGATGACCGCTGTCTGCTATAAGTTGTTCATGACGGTGCCATGCGGCCCATGTCATTAGAAAGCACATGATTCCATACATATGTGGCTTCATAGGTGGAGTAGTATGGCAGTGTCAGGCTCCGAGCTATCAGCTTTGTAAGATCCTAGTCCTAGTCTTGGTGCCCATCAATATACTGCATTCATAGAATACTAGATAATAGCGAGTTTTCCGCCATAATCCAGAGAGCCTTGATTCCAGCTTAGGTTCTGAGCGAATATCAGCGTCCGCTATAGATTATTATGGAGTACATCTGATGTCACAGCTCTGTGCCTGAGCTGCGTGAGTCTCATATCACGATAGTATATTGCCTCACCTAAACATACTAATTATCAACAGTATTCTCAGAAATGTCTAAGACTAGTCCATGGTGTTCATCCGGCCGTGCCGGTGTATATCTCTAGATCTATGCATGTTTAGATATGCTATCTAATGGTAGGCCTGTTATGTACCGTTCTTCGTGGATATGAACTTGGGGCTCCGAACGCCAAGTTATGATATTACCATTCCAGGCGTAGACTGCATGCACCCAATTAATGGCCAGTGGATGAGTTGTTTATAGTTTGATCTGAACCTTGATCTTCCTCTCCACTTTTAATCTATATCAGAAGGATCGGGTAAATCTTTTTCGTGATAAGTGTCAGTGTCATGGTTGCCTTATTAGCTGAGCAGGACTATTACCATTACGTACATGATATATCATATGTATTAGTGACAGCCGGTAACAGTAGTTAGCTATCCGGGGTGGTAAGCATAACCCTGTGAAGCTATCCAAGCCATTCCTTGGCCTAGTGCGGGGATGTGGATATAGCTGCCTAAAGTCATTGACCACAACTGTAGTAACAATACTCACTCTATTCATTTGTCTGCGTAGCCTAGTTTCTTTTTCTATCAACACTGAAAGAGAAGATGTCATCTGAATTCTGGTGAGGTCCCATGTATCAAATGGCAGAGGCTGATGCATGTAACTAACAACAAGAAGCCCCGTCTATTCAGTGAGTTATATCCTGAAGTCCTTGGATAAAGACATTATCCTAACAGCATGAGCAGCCCTTCTTCAGTGCTATAGGATGCACAAGCGCGATTGTCTTCACAGCCTGTGGTGCAGCCTACGGGACTGCAAAGGCCGGCGTGGGCGTTTGCTCCTCGGGGGTCCTGAGACCCGATTTGATAGTTAAGAGTATGCCACCAGAAATCCTCCCTAGAGCAACAATGCTGATATGGTCTAGACATTGTGCCCATCGTCATGGCCGGTATCCTCGGGATCTACGGCCTGGTTGTCTCTGTTTTGATTGCAAACACCCTCTCTCAAAAGGCGGCTCTCTACACCAGCCTTGTTCAGCTGGGTGCAGGTCTCTCGGTTGGACTATGTGGGCTAGCTGCTGGGTATGTTTTGTAGAACTCTATCGAGTCTCAGCTAACCTGGTCAGGTTTGCAATTGGAATCGTGGGCGATGCGGGCGTGAGAGGAACGGCGCAGCAGCCTCGGCTTTATGTGGGCATGATACTCATTCTGATCTTTGCTGAGGTGTTGGGTAAGATTTCTTGTCTCTGCCTCAGGGTTCATGAGACTGATGCAGTAGGAAGGCCTGTATGGGTTGATTGTGGCTCTTTTGATGAACTCTAGGGCGGCACAGCTGGAGCATAAATGTAGCTGACTGCAGATGCGGTTTGGAGTTATGGAGGTAGGACGAATGAAATGAGAAGGCTTAAACATGTACAAAGAATGGTATGCATCTAACCTTTCCAGTGAGCCAACAGACGCGCCAGGCTCAGGCTCGAGGACTAATGGCTGAAGCAATTGGGTTATCTAGCAATATACAGACACAGCGGCATACAACACATTATGGCAATTGGTATCCGGCACCCTGAAATTCAACCCCTTGCAGTCGCCGCCGCTCCATGTCGTTATGATACAGCTACTGTAAGTTTATTAGCACATAAATAATCTTCATCCTGCAATCACATACCTGTTGTCAAGCACTCGAATTGACCTCTTGTTGGAGGGAACGAGGACGCATCGTTGGGAGCCCGTGCTAGTAACGGCAAAAGAATCGTCCGCGCCGCCGCAGGTGTCAGTTTCATACATGTCAAATACGGCTAAGCGGTTGGACCCGTTATTTGCTGACTGGCTATTACTGTTACTCGAGGTGGTGGAAGAGGGAGGATTCGTCGTAGTGGATGTCGGATTGTTGTTGGTGGTGGTCGTCGTCGTGGATGGAGTTGTAGTATTAGTGCCACTTAGCGACGATGCTGAGGGTGTTGGTGATGATGATGATGATGATGATGATGATGATGATGATGATGATGATGATGAGGAGGAGGATAAAGCCGAGCCGCTGTCATTTTCAACTCAGTCCCATCAGTCCAGCCGACAATATTGAGTTAGAAGAACACTACCTTTGTGCATTATCGTTCTTATGGGCTGCGCGGCTGCCCAAAACGCCCCCTACAACCGCCGCGACCACGACGATCACCAATACCCCCAAACCGATGACAATCCACCTCCATCGCGTTTTCTTCTTTGACTCAGCTGCATCAGCGGCTATGAATGGTGGACCTGTTTCTGTGGCCCATTGCGTCGGGCCAGTTTTATTGACAAAATATTTATCGTTGTGCCCAGGCGGGAAAGATGAAGGCTGCAGCGGATGGACCACAAACTGCGGGGCGCTATTGGGTTCTTCCTCGAGATAGCGACGCTCCTAGATCGTTGATGTCAGTTACTGGCTTGTGCTGTAAGCAGGAGAGACTGACCATCGGAAGCCTTTTTTGTCGATATCAACCAGCAATTAACACGCCGGGGAGGTGCGGGAGGGGGATTTGGGGTTGATAATAGTACCCGTCATGGGTCAGGGATTGGGAGAGGAGATGGTCAAAGATATTTAACCCAGCAGCACCCTGTTCATCCGTCGAGAGCCAGGGCCTCTCTATGGAGGGTTGCTCCCTGCCTGATTAAGTATAGCACCGGGTTACGGGACCCATCGAGTACATATCTTAGCTCCTTCTGCTCCCCTTTTCTAAGTAGCCGTCCAATATGATTAGTGTTCCTGCTTATTGGGCTCCACAGTAGACTTGAAAATCTACGCTAGACTAAAGGTCGGCGCCAATTCTACCAATGCCCGCGCTCCTTGGCAGCCGGAACATAGGACTCTTTGTAGATCTGTATGGGACAGAGGCTTAGCGCCGCAGTGGACCTCATCAGCTCGTGAGGTTGCTAACAGAGGCGCTGGGTTGCAGTCCAGCATGGCCTTGGACAAGTTTGATAAGGGCAGGCCATCAAGGGTAATGTGATACTATCTAAATTTAGTCAAAGGGGAAAATGAAGTAGTCGTTAGCGTCATCATATTGCAGTAAAGGTGAAGGCAAGTCAACCAGAATTGGCATTGCATATATGAGGATCACGAAGCAGCAGGACAATATACATAATCAGGATATCGCTCGTAGAGCTATACATCATTGAGAACCAAACACTTGTCTAGGCCAAATTCTTCAAACCCCAGAATACATTCTGACCATGAGGATTCCTTTAACCACTTCACTCTGAACTTGATACTTGCCACTTTATAGGACAACTTATCGCGTCTCTTTGCTGTACTAGGACTTGGCTTCAATCTCCCCCAAGAAGTTCCTCCTATAGCAATCACAGGCCTGTCCACTAGGCATGAAATAGGCCCTATCTCCCAGCCTACGTCGGTCCCTTGTCTCTGAGTGTTGCCTTTTTGACCTGTTGGGAGATTATGCGTCCTAGAAGCTGAAGCTGAAGCTGAAGATGAAGTTCCCCTACGCACGAAAAATCCGCAGAAACGCCGGGGCGTGTAATTCGACAACCCCAATATCTGTGGCCTCTCGCAAGGATGTTCATATACATGCTGACAAGTAAAGATCTTTCCCCGGTATACCTGGTTGTCGATGCTCTTGGCAAATGCGACCAGAGTGACCTCGGCATTCGGGATCTGAGGTTGCTCATTTCGGGGACCCTCGAGATCACAAACAAGGTCAAGTGTCTTCTATCCAGTCGGCCCGAGGTAACATTTACACCAGGCTCAAAACTCAGGAGACACCGGGAGCGGTGGTGGAAATCAAACGCCCAGTGTCCACCGGAGCCGGTGAACGCCCGCCTCAACCACAAGCTCTTGGAGCTCGAGCGTGTCAACGGTTACGCGCAATCATTCCACCAAAGAATATCTGCAGGACTATTTTACGTCTGAAGGTGGAATTGGTCAGCATCATATAACCTAGACAGACATCCCATCAATACCATGACAAGACTGAGACAGAATATCTATGATCTCCATCCAGGCGTCGAATCTAAGGAGTTTTGGGTCAAGCATCTGTGCAAGGGTAGGATCTATCGTCGGACTATGGGGCAGCAAAAAGAGCATTTCCTCCACTGCCTAGAAAGCTTAAGCGTAATTCATCCGCTTCAAAGCACAATCTTATCACTCTGAAAGGTCTTACTGAACACCAAGGTATGGCAGCTTCCCCCAATTGCATTAGGTACTAATGGTAGTAGTTGACACCAGGCGAGAGCCCTCAGCTTATCGCCTTCTTAAGGGATGCGGAACGATTTGTATTCAGGAATCTGTCTGCTGTAGAGCGAATCTCTCTACAGATACCCGACTGTGCACTCGCCTTCAGCCCAAGCAGAAGCACACTCAAATCCCGGTTCTGGAACGAGAGCATTTTATCGAAAAAATCACCGGTGTTCGAGAAACTGAGACCCTTGTCTGCTGACACTAGCAGCGGAAAGCGAGATAGAAGGGGTGCTCTTCTCGTCTGCTGGAAAGCTGTTTGCTGTACTGAGTTGACGCACTACGGTAGTCCAGCTGTGGGACGCTGTTACCGGGTGCCGTACCCAATTATTTGACCTCGAGAAGAAGGGTTGAGCTGACTTGTCCGCGGTCTTTTTACCGCATAGCAAAGTTTTCGCTGTTCCATCTGGGAGTATATTGCAGCTCTGGAATGTTTCCACTGGGGCGTGTAGGCAAAGGTTTCGAGATACCCGACCATGGCACTGCCATATCTTTGACAATCTCGCCGGACGGTGACACTGGTATTCGGAGCGGAGACGGTGCAACTCAGGGATATTGATACCGAGACGTCCAAACCGGTCTTTAGAGGGCATACTGAAGACGTCTCCTCACTCGCTCGGTCACCGGACGGCAAGACCCTTGCTTTGGCTTCGTCTGCCAAGACGGTAAGGCTCTGGGGTTCGGCAGTCGGGGCCTCCCAGCAGATCTTTCACGAAGACGAAGGCAGTACCCCCTCGTTGTGGTCTTTTCGCCTGATGGTAAGAGCCTGGCTGTGGCACTCACATGGTCTCTTCGTGGACATGGTCAATTCATTTCGGCAATGAGACTCTCGCCAGACGGAAGAACCGTCGCGACAGGGTCGCTTGAAAATACCGTGAAGCTGTAGACCACCGCGAGGATGCATCGACAGACGCTCGAGGCCATACAGCTATGTATCTTAACCAATTTCTCCGCAGACACCAAACCATCGCCTCGGTTGCATACGACTACACAGCCCGGATCTGGGGCCTTGCACAGTGCTCGGAATAGGGCCTGGGACCTGCACGCAGACTCTGGAAACGACAGAGACCAGCCCAGATCGATTCTTCGCTAGCCCTCTCCCTCAATTGTAGTATGGCTCTCATCGGCACGGTTTGGGACGGGGCCCAGTTGTATGATGTTTCGACGGGGACATGCAAACTGAGCACGCGGAGGTCTCCTGGACAGCAGCTAATTCCCCAGTGGCCACTTCCCCAGACGGCAAAACCGTCGCCTTGGGCACAAACGCTGAGGTGGAGCTCTGGGACTATCATTTTCAGACGACGAGCGATCCTTGACAACGATCAGGGGTCGTACCCGCTTGGCTCCATCCCCGACGCGGACTTGTAAAGGGACCTGTTATGGGTGAGGAAAGAGGAGCTGAAGCTGCTTGTCCTGCTGCCTGAATACAGGGGTCTGAGGCTACACTGGGGCCGAATAGGGTTGCATTCGCGGGGGCCAGTGGTCAAGTCGTTTTCCTTACCTGGTCTAGTGGCCAGATGTAGTTATGTGCACGTTCTGAGGGGAGGAATGACTCATACTGGAGATGGGACTTGGCCCGGAAGTGGAAGATCTCTTGCTGTGAGGGTTTGTGTTTGTGTAGGCATCTTTGAGGAAGTGCTCTTTAGTTCTTGTAGCCTCTAGTCAATGCCAGGTATAGAGCGTTGCGAGTAGACAGGCCCTAGTCAACTTAGTATCCACCTACCTTTGCAGCCATAGAACAGCTGAGAGGAATGCACTGTGGTGTGCAGTAGCTGTAAATGACATGAAATGACTTCATGCTTAGGCAGTATGAGCTAAGCATACTTATCTATTTATCCCTGCAGCATGGAAGCCATTGAATAAAGTATAAGTCATTGAATGTGATGCTTTATTATTATCATCAAGGTAGAGCCATTAACATGCCAGATAACTGTAATCCCATCACTATTCAATAAACATCTACAGAGCTAATGATGAAGAAACCCTGAAACACAATCCCAAAAGATGGAATGCGTTCACCGCCCCCAAACCATGTCTCAGATAACCCCCAAATATAGCTCTACCGTTCTTTTTTTCCCTTTTCTGTAAGATCTAACCAACTGCAAAAGTCAAATACTTGTGAAACCCCTAATCTAATCCTCTTTACGGCATTGCAGGCCACCGCCAAGATGCTCCACTGCTAGCTCACTTAGCTCGGTTTCAGGCACCCAAGTTTCGGGATGGGATCCACAGATGTCTGTCTGTTTGGCTTGCTGGCTTTGGGTGATCGTTCCAATGTTCGAGAAGGATTGTGTTAGGGTAAGGCATTTTTCATCGTGCTAAGGTAGTCTGAGATTGCAAGGATGGTGTATATGGTTGGGTATACTGCGATACACGAAAAAAAACATAACAGAATTGGACATCAAGTTAAACAGGGTATGGTATGTGCAGACAAAAGATCAAAGAAATAATAAAGAAATAGGAAAAGGAGGGAATAATCAGATAACCGCCTGCGCCTTGCGACTGTAGCCCAGTCGGTGTCCACCACCGCCAGTCCAGTCGGTCCAGTCCATTCTATCTTTCCAATTCAATGAGATCAAAGGAGTGTCGCCTTTCACTAAGGAGAGGACTGATCGGCCAGCCGAGGCGATCCCGCTCAAAGTCAAACTCCGCAGATCGCAATCGCGACCTCGTATCGTAGACGGCTGTAGTGTAGTGTAGTGTATATAGTGTAGTGTAGTGTAGTAACTCCGGAAATGCATGAGGAACCCTCCCCGCGAAAGAGAATCCGAGCCCCGGCCGGCGGGACGATCATCGAATCATGGGATTTTTTTTTGAGTTGGTTTTCATTCCCTCATCGCATCACAGATCCTGGACGATGGCTCGGTAGGGCGAGTCGTTCAGGATCTCTGATGGTAGGGCTCGTCGATAGTCTCTGGGTTGCGCAAAAGGCGACGAAGATGATGAGGGCCGACGGAGTTTGAGTGACTGTGTATTGTTAGTATATGCTTTCGCCAATAGACATGATTCTGCCATAGACATACCACACAATCAGGGCATTTTCCTCCCTCGATATTGGCGCGGCCACGGCAGCCGCGAGGATAGTTGGCGCACGAGAACATGTTGATATTGGTCGAGAGAGTGATCACGACAGGGAGAAGCGAGTGTTGACAGCAGTGATTGAAAGGGATTTAGGAGTCGCAGATAGAAAGATGGACGTTTTGGTTATTATTGTTGTTGCCCCTTTCTCCTCCACTAAATTTTTTTTTTCCTTCTTGTTTTTCTGCCTTTATTTTTTGGCTGGTTTTAGTGTTCTTTTTCCTTTCTAGGGCTGAAATTGGGCGTCAAAGGAAAGGCTCCAGTGCGGATTTGTCGCAATAGAAATAGAGTCGAGAAGCCGGAAAATAAGGTAATAATAATAATAATAGTAATACCTCCCAAAATAATGAACGAAGGGGGAAAAAAAAAGAAAAACTAAGCCACACGGCGCAGGCTGACGTCAAAAGCACCGAAGAGTGTCTTGCAGACAGACAAGAAGGAGTCTAGTATGGTAGCTAAAGCACGCTTGCGAGGCCTGGTCGATGGTCTAGCTCCGCCACAAAATTAGCTTGCCAGTGGCAGTTGGCAGGTAGACTCGATAGTTGCAAAGATATCGAAATGATGCAGTGAAATGAGTGAAGTCGAGCCCAGCTGTTCAGGGAAAAGGTCCAGAAGTAGATCGAAGGTAAAAGGGGTTTATATATCTCATATCTACATTGTAGAAAGATATTATGGAGACTGGACGGAGCACTCGGAAAGTGAAAATCCTTTATTTTGCCTCAGCATTATGACACTTAATGAATTCGATCCATCTGTAGATTAAGCCAATCATTCTACGCACCGATTCAACGGCTCAACTCTGACATCCACCACAGTCAGCATGACAGCTCTCTGACAGGCAACACTGGGCATCACCGACTCTACTGTCTTCTACTCTCTAGTCGTGGCTGTACTTGAAGGCCTCACTCCGCGTTTTCCGGCTGTCCAGGCAGATTAATTATGTGTTATATTAGGTCATGTTAATATGGAAAGTTGGCATGGATAGTATCGAGTGATCTACACAGAACATCAGTGCATCGGCATACAGAAAATGACTCGCAGCGCCATGGTTAGACAGCAATAAGAGTAGAATTAAGACTCTCTTTCATATTTCTATCCTACCTCACTCTATGTGCTCTCCTCAGCCATGCTCAAACAATGATAAGCACTGTTAATATCATCCATCTAGAACAGAGTCGAGAAATTGCACGATCCACCGCCCCCAACAAGTTTCACATAGACATGGTCCTTGGTACCTGAGCCATATTAACCTGGTCTCCAGTCCAGGTCACACCAGCAAACTCTGAATTTTGAACCTTCTCGAAGCTCTGGAAAATTGGATGGATGGAGTCTGGATCTGGATCTGGGCCTTGGCTCCACCAGGACTATGACTGTGACTGTGCCTCGGAAGGACTTGACACGGAACACGAGAAGTCTACAGCCTCATGCTGTACGAAGAAACTCCGTAATTGAGGAGATTCGGAACTCCGTCATCGTGCCTAACATCTCCTCGGAAAAGGAATAGAGTACTGGCCAGCTTGATGCAATTGGTCACTTGATCAAGGTACATGGTACACTTTAATAGGTAGACGACCAGAGGCAGGCGGCTTATCCCGCTC